CCAGCAGATTTGGGACCAGTTTTGTCAGTCGCAGCTGGCCTTCGTCACACTTGTGCAGTGCGTGCAGATGGTCGGCTCATCTGTTTTGGATGGAATGGACATGGGCAGTGTGATGTGCCAGCAGATTTGGGACCAGTTTTGGCAGTGTGATGTGAACAACCGCTGATCATGCAGAACAAGCCATCCTGAGTGCCAAGGTCGCCAACCCGAGAGCAACAAGTCCGACACCTCGCAACCTCATCATTGGGGACTAATTTGAATAATTAGGCATAGCCTTCCTCAAACCCCTTCCATTTACTTAGGCCAGCGTGCTATACAACCCCCGAGCCCCAGCAACCTCAAATTAATTGTGTGTGTGTGTGTAGGGTTCAAGGTTTGTGTGGGTGTCTTTTGAAGAAAGCATCGAGGCCTGTATGCCACCGAACCCCACAGCTTAACTTAACCCCCGCTTGGCTGCTACAGACCCTCAACTTTCAATTGCACATGTCCACAGAACCCTAAACTCGAAATCCCAAAGCCTAAAGCCGAAACCCAAAAGTACCCATAAATAACACGAGTATTTCACTCCCCGCCCAAAACACCCATCAACCCCAACTGAGACCTTCATAAACCCCATATCATCTCCTTCAAGCCCTTACCAAACCCTAATCTTTCCGAAAACCCTAAGCCATTAAACTAAACCCTAAACTCTATAAACTCCTCTAAATTAAACCCTGAGGCCTAAACCCCTAAACCCTAAACGCCCTAAACTCCTCTACGACCCCTGGCGCCCAGCCCGGGGAGAAGCACATCAAACCTCGGGAGTCGGAGCCTGTGGGCACCTGGGAGGAGGCCCAAAAAAATCACCGCCCTGGGTTTAGGGTTTTAGAGGGTTTAGGGGTTTGGGGTTTAGGGGTTTAGGGTTTAGGCGTTTAGGGTTTAGGGTTTAGGGGTTTAGGGTTTTAGGGTTCAGGGTTTAGGGTCGGTTTGGGGTTTTCGGGGTCGAAGGCCCCCCGGAAAGGCTACCTACGGGGGCTGAAGAGCTTTCTGAGACGGTTTGGGGCGCTTTGGGTTTTGGGTTGGGCTTCGGGGTTTCGGCTTGGCACAGGTTCGGGTGTAGAGCATCCTATAGTCGGGTTTAGTAGTTCAGGTTCGGAGCCACGGGAATTTAGTGCTTGCAGAGCTTTGGGGTTGCCCGGCTTTAATTATCAGAGCAAGGATTTCGGGGGTTTAACACAGAGGCCTCCGAAGGGCCTTCCAGTGCTCCAGAGTTTCGGGGGGTACGCCAGGCAACTCCTCCACAGATCTTCAGCCATGAACCTGCAAGCGGAGATACCGAATGCCAGGGTTTGGTTCCTTCAGAGGCCACAGAGTGTTTGAGTTTGAGACACCGCAACATCAACACAAAGGAGGCGGAATCTTTCAGCCCTTCACTCCCGAGCTCGAGCATTCTCAGCCTTCAGCCACTCACCTTTGGTTTTGCATTGTGCGCCAAACTAAGGCCTACCTGCTTCCCTGAGCTTTGCCAGGCTTCGATTCACAAAACCCGCAGAAGTCCTCCAGGGCGGAAGCCCTATCCCAAAGACAAAGCAGTCAAAGACCATGAGGGGCCCTATTCTCGTCTACCAGGCTAAGGTATGCCCCCATAATATAGAAACCTGCATAGCAAGCACTTGTGAAGGCTCGGAAGTGGTGTTTAAAACATGGGGCGGGCTGTGTTGGCATCTTCGACGCCTCCTGGTCAGAAAAGTCCTACTTGCTTGGGGGTTCAGGGTTCAGGTTTGTTTCGGAGTTGTCGGGTTTCAGGTTTAGGGATCCGGATTGTGGGTTCAGGGAAGTTTAAGGGTTTTGGAAGCTGCAGGGAACGGAGTTTGCAGCTGAGGGGCTCAAGCCCTAAGGCCGACGGTAGGGTTCAGTTTGTGGAAATTGAGGTTTAGGGTTTAGTGTTGATGGTAGGAGATCCGGGTTTGAGATCTCGGAGCTATCATGACAGGATAGGCATGTGGGTTTCTTTTTTTTCAGGGCTTGGAGTGTAGTTTAGATGGATTTCGGGGCAGCATTCCCAAAGACAGGGTTGGATGAATGAAAGCAAAGGCATACAATTGATGGTGGTTCAAGGCCTCGAAGGAGCCAAACTTTAGACTCGACATACCTCAAAACAGATTCTGCATCCTAAGATGCTGTTCTCAAAGCAACAGGCGAGTGCAAAGGAAGCCGACAGGTGATCTCCGAACCTTCTGCCGCAGAGGCTTCCCACTGTAGGCCTGCATTGCCATGCAGAGTAGAGGGGTGTGTGTGTGTGTGTGAGATGCGTTAAGGCATCCTCGGATTTTTGGTACCGACTATTTGGTGTCGGACATTTGGCGCCTTCGTTCTGAAGCTCCCATATCTGTGGTTGACAGATCAAGGGACTTGGTAAGCCAGTGATCGAATCATAAGGCAACGGTGGTACTACAGCTACATCTACCAGACACTTATTATAGCACTCCCTGCTCGTGGTTGCTCTCTGCTCTTATAGGCTGTTACTGTATGATGGCAGTTCCCAAACCATAACAACAACACTGTCTCAGTCCTAAGGAAAGATGTGATGGAGCGGGCTATGCGCTGGTTACGAACATCACAGTGAGCGCCAGCCCCAGGAGAAACTATGAAGCAAGCCTGTGAACCTCCGCCAAGAGACCCCTAAAACCCTCCCCTAAGCACCTCAAAGCTCCAGAACCCTACAAAAGTTCCCTTAGCTTTAAACCCAAAGCTTTGAAGCCCTAAGCCAAGCCTCACCCGCCAGAACATGTTTCAGGCGATCTGGGAGCTTCGGAAGACGGCAGCTGCCTCTACGAAAAGCTCGCGGAGCAATGACGCTTGGGATTCGCGGTCGCCTGCGAAGGCCCAGCGGGGCAACCTTCGAGGTTCCATAGTTCGGGGTTTCGTGGTCTACTCTCCTCTACTTACATAGGGACCATATGGGGATACGATTATGACTTCGACTTTGGGGGTGAGTTGGGACTGAATTCTGCGGGGTACGGTCTGAGGGTTCGGCCTCAAGGCTGCAGATTTCTCAGAGTCCCGAAGGCTCCATGCCCCTTATATGGTATATACTTTGGGTCTTCAGGTACCTATAGAGGAACCCCCTTTAAAGCCGAAGTATATATGCTATGTAGGTGCGCGAGGCATGAGGGAGTTTAGGATGTGCTGCTGCCTAGCAGGCCTCGCACTTCTTCCTCCGCTCGGAGGACGTTTCTAGGCTGTGACCTCGGAAGTCCGATTCTTGCAAAGGCAGACAGATCTGGTCTCTGGGTCGACGTGGATGCCTGCCGACAGTAGCAGTACCAGTACCAGTACCAGTAGCAGTAGTGGTACTATAGTTATAGTAGTAGTAGTAGTAGTCGTCGTCGTCGTCGTCGTAGCAGTAGTAGCAGCAGCAGCAGCAGTGGTGACAGCAGTGGTGACAGCAGTGGTAGTCGTCGTGGTCGCTGCGGTAAGTGGCAGTGGTGCGGGTATGTAGTGGCGGGTGGAGGAGAAGCAGCAGCCACAGACCAGAAGCACCAGCAGCCACGCCAACAGCAGCAGCAGCAGCAAGGATTACCGCACAAATTCTCCTCGCAGTTTCGTTTACAAGTTCCCGATGTTTGGCTCAGAGCGTGCTTGTTCTGCAATTTAAACGAGGATGATGGTCACGGTCAGGCCGTGTAAATAAACAGCTGACTGCCAGCCATGGTCCAAGGTGGCTGCGCGTGGCTCTGCAAGCCGTCGAGTGCAGTGGCGTTTGACGATGCTCAATCGGGCAATAGACTGGTGCAGACCATCAGCTTGTTGAGCTGCTTGAGTGGCTGCTGCAAGTGCTTGCTGACAGGCGAGTCCTGGACGGTGTTACGGACTAGGGTAATGAGGACACGACAATGATGGTTATGGGGAGGATGGCGAGAAACAGGGGTGATCATTGCTCATATTAACCATAACCATCTGGATGGAGGACAGCGCCGATGATGAAACTTATGATGATCATGGTAGCATTGCTGAATTAGAAGCGAATGTCGAATGCGATGGTGATGACGATGTCGATACTGATGACGACACGGGCGGGAAAGATGCTAGGACTGCTAGGAGTGTTGTTGTCGAGGCTGATTACAGGAAGCGCAGGGTACATGATGTGAAGCTGATGCCAGTGTCCTGCGTTTACGAGGATGGAGGCTCATTAAGTTGGCGGTGAGGAGGATGGAGTCGGACTGCGGCGGTGACGGGGTGATCATGCAGATTGATTAGGGCGAAATGGTGATGGTAGTGGTACATCGTCGTGAAGTTGTGCACTGAGTGTTATCGCTATCAATAGCAGCAGGCTGTTTCAATCAGAAGCGATCATCACCAAGATGAGTTCTGTTACCGCCGGTTTGCGCTTTTTGGCTTCTGAGCTTCTGCGTCGGTCGATGAGAGCGTACCGCTACAGAGAGTAATGTGCACGCACTGCGTGGGCGATTTTGCTCACTCTTCATCCTCGCCCCGCGTAAAGCATCGGACCGGACACGGCCAGCCACCGCTCAGACCCACATCGGATGCCAGGTCACACAAGGTCACAAGCTCACATGCATGCACACGCACACGCGTATACAGACACCGACACACCGTCACAAACAGCCCCCCATAATCTGTTCCAGGTATTTTCCTAGTCTCTTTGGAAGGACAGACCAAGGGACTTTAGGCATGTGCATGGATGAGCAGCAACCGTCAGGCGGGCAGTTTTCGCTGAGGGCGTGCAAGTTTAGCAGAGGATGATTGAATAGGGGTCGTAGTCGGATGTATAACTTCGACGGTCGTACAAAACATACAATACACTGCAGTGGGCTGAGAGTTTGTAATCTCAATTCGGGATCGGAACAATTAGTATTAGTCGCATTCCCTGACGGTCCTCAATGATTCTGATATAGGATAGCCGAAAACCCTATTTGTTTGTTAAGGCCTCTTTTTGTTGGCGGTTTTCCCTCCTCCAAGCGACAAGCTTCTGCCGTCCAGTAGCTTTTGCCTTAAATCCGGAGCTCGAGCCTCAATGCATTAAAGCTCGGATTAGTTCTTGTCAGAATTTTGGGTTTAGTTTAGGACTTAGGGTTTAGGGGTTTAGGGGTTTAGGGTTTAGGGGCGCCCAAAACTTGAAGACCCCGTTGCAGGTGAGGACCCCGGGACCCACTAACGACTCCCTCACCAAGTTACGGCAGTACGTCCGGCGCTGAGGAGTTGGGTTTTTGTAGATCTTGGCCTTGAGTACAGCTGCAGGGTTTCGGGGGTTAGGGGTTCTGGGTTTAGGGTGCAGGGGTTTAGGGTGTGGTTGGAATCAGGGCCTAGGGATCTCTTAGTCAAGGCATCTTCGGTTTTTGCTGCGGCTGTCCTCCATGTGATGGTAGTTAGGTTCGTTTACTTAATTTCACGTGGGTTGCCCATCGCACTCTTAAGGAGTCTTCTTACCGCTCTGACCTTTGCATATATATTTATATAACAATAAGTTATATACAAATACATAATATATACATCTATATATATATATGTCACACATATATATATATGTACATACATATCGAGAGAGAGAGAGAGAGCAAGACAGAAAGAGCAAGAGACAGAGAGAGAGAGAGAGACAGTTTCTCGTTGACGTGCACCCGTGTGCTTGCTGTTTCGTTTTTTTCGACATCTAGTTTGTAGTTCATGGTGTCAGAGAGCCTGGCCCTCTTAATCAAAGCTGGACGGCCAAGTCGAAAAGAATCTGCTGAGGTCAGCAAGCTTCCCCACGACTCCTACAGCATCTACAACTACCGCTACTCCTCAGACAAGCCGGACAAGCTTTTCGAGGTGCTGAGATCATGGTGCCATTTGGGTTAATGGTTTCCATAGCTCAAAACAGGTGCTTTAGGGTTTGGGGTCTCTATAGGAGCAAGTCTCATTGGCCGAGCCAGGTGCAAGAGCAGCACGGGGGGAAGTGTCGCGTGTGGCGTTGCGCTCGGAGGGTTCGAGCTTTCAGATGCTAAGTTCTGAAAGAGTTGGCCCCAAACCCAAAGACTTGGTGTGAATTCCACTAAACCCATTATACATGCTTCCGAAGCTAGTGTAAGGGCGTCGGGATGGATGGTTTCAGGATTGGTATGTTCGAGCCTGTGGTGGATGGCAGTAGGTCGGCTTGTCGATGAATAGGTACCTTGAAACTCGGAAAGAAGCTTAGTGGCGTAGTCGGTCTACGAGGGCTCGTCGAGCTTTCCTGACCCCAGCATCAGTTGGCTCGGGTTCTGATCGTCAGTTTCTACATAGATCTGTGAGTTGAGATGGCCAGCAAAATCACCCGTTAACCGCTTGAAGTCAATCCGTGCTTAAACAAGGCACGAGAAGCAGTGACAAACGCCGCTTTAACACTGCTAGCCAACCTGCTTGTGTATGAACAGCTCGGATGTGTGGAAACGCACACGTTCCTGTATGTATGTGCCGACCACCGCTTTTTAAACATTGCTGCTACCACTGCTGCATCTGGTGCCGCTTCTTCTTCGACGACGACTGCTCAGTGCTGTTGCTGTTGCCGGTACGAACTAGCAATACTGCTCATATGACACCCTGGCTGATCATGCTCTTCCCGGAATTCACATCAGCTTGGGGTCAAAACAAGCTGCACATCTCGGAAAGACGGAGAGCCTCCAGGACCACCTACCTAGGCGGGGGGATCCACTCATCCCTCCACCCAAAACCCTGAACCTCTGCTTGTTAAGACTCCGAAACAGTCAAGGCTGAATCCACTCGTCGGCTTCCCAAAGGCGATCAAGGAGGCGGCCCGTGATTTTGCTGCTTTCTTGGGCGGAAATCTGCGATGCAGCTGCATCACGAAGGGAACCATGCCTGAACCATGGCACAAGCTGAAATTCAGCTTCGCCAGTGCTGCAGGGTCGCAAGGTGACTCCGAGACTCGGTGTCGCGCGTATGCTTAGCGTGGTATAGTACAGGCGCATGCTGGTGGCATGGCAAGTGCAAGTACTATGGCAGACTAGGGCGACAAAAGCTTCTGTACTCCATTATGGACAACTTGCTGCTGCTTGCACTATACAATATACAAGGCCTCACTTCGGGGAGTTCAAAGTTCAAAGCCCAAACCTTGAAACGGGCTGGGTTTTTTGTGGTCCCCGTACCCCTTGCCACCCAGAGGTTTCCCCCCAGCGGCAATGGGGCTCTGTGGGGGGCTTCAAATTGCCCCGGAGGCAAAAGGAACAAACGAAACCTCGAGGAAGGCAGATGACAACACTTTGACAGGCCACACAAGGCTTTTTCATGTCTTGACAATGATTCATCCAGACGTGCTGCTATCGCCCGAATTTGCAGGGTGCGATCCCGGCCTCGGGCTTCCGCCCTTCGCGGGCTCTCTGCTCCGTGTTCTGAGTTACTCTAGTTACTTCCTTTCGAGCGGTTTGCTCCTTGCTTTCAATCTCTCTAGTCTCTTTCGAGCGGTTTGCTCCTTGTTCTGATCTTCTCTAGTTCCTTTCGAGCGGTTTGCTCCCTGTTTTCAAACTCTCTAGTCTCTTTGGAAGTTCCCTAAATCTCTTTCGAGCGGCTTGTTCCTCCTTCTGAAACCCTCTAGTTCCTTTCGAGGGGGTGGGTGGGTGGGCCGGCGGGCGGGGTGGGCGGGTGGGCGGGGTGGCCGGGCGGGTGGTGGGTGGACGTAGGTTGGTGGACGTTGATCTGTGTATGCATGCAAATCAACATGCACAAAAAGCATACATGAACACACACACACACACACACACGAACGAACACGAGCGACCTTCGTCTTGAGCGCTTTTGCCAGGCTCCTCGAGCGGAGTTCGAGGAGCTGTCGGCCGACGTCGACGATGCCGTTTGCTGCAACTAAACTTGGAGCCCTTGGAGCGTTTGGCTTCAACTAAACTGGGAGCGTTGGGCTTACATGCTCTGTTTGGGTTTTGCAGAGGTTTGCAGGGCTAGGTTCCTTTGTTCTGAAACCCTTCAACTCAACGTTGAAGCGGACAGCTCATAAAGCTTCGAAGGCCAAGCATTCGCAGCCAAAAGCGGCAAGGCCACGACCCGTGATGACCCATGAACGCCTAACTCATCAATGACCTCACTCCTACCCTCATCCCGAAACCCTGAACGGCCCTAGCGCCTGATTCCGCACTCCGCAGCCCCCAGGCCAAAGAACGCATCGCCGAGAAGGTGCTGAAGAAGCTGAAGCAGACAGGCCCACCCGTGATGGGCAGTCTTAGGGTCCTAGAGTCCTGAAGTCTGTTGACCATTATGCCCACTTCTTGCATCTGCAAGTCTGTTCTCTCAGCGAGCATCAAAGCCTGAACACAAAGCCACAAAGCACTGCTAAGCCCTGAATCCCAAGCCATACACACTAAACCTTGACTGAGCTCTTTCTTTTCTTCAAGCACCGGGCCATGAATGAGCTGTTTCTTCCTGTACATAAAGAAGAACTCTCTTTCAACCCGAAAGTGCCAGCTGCTGCAGTTGAGCCGCCGGACGTGATTCGCAAAGGGTCGTGCCTCAACTCAACAGTTGGCTTTGTGGTGTCTCAGGATTCATCCTTGCTGTTTCTGGCTCAGTTGTTGAATCCCCAGGTAAAGCGGTTGCTACATGATTGTTATGCATCGCGCAGTCTTCGCGATTAGTTTGCTGTGTTTCCCTTCTCGCGAGGCTGCTGTCAATTGAAGCCCGTGTTGTGTTGCTCCTGTTCCCTTTCTTATCGCAGCATCTCTGTGCTGGGGTTCGGGGTTTGGGGCAACCAACGAGTGTCGAATTTCAAGCTCGGGAAGCTTTCCAGCTGAGGAAAGATAATCAAAAGCTGAACCTCGCGGGCAAAGGAGGCTACTGGGTGCCACTTGGCTGCCAACGTCGAGCCGCAGCCCCCAAGCCCCAAACCTTAAATCCTATCCCCCAACCCCTACTCCCCCTCTGATTACACACCACCAAAATCGAAAACCCTGAACCCTGAACCTAAATCCCCCATTAAAACCCTAAGCCCTAAACCCGAAACCCTAAACCCTTTGTGTATTCCTGGAATGGCCCAGGCGTCCGACTCTGCTCAAAGACCCTCGAGAGCGCTTTCAGCTTCAATGGCCTGAGGCAGGCATTGTAGCTTGAAGCTAGTTCGATTGAATATGGGGGGGGGCCTTGAGATCTAGAGCAGGGTTCTGGGGTAAAGGATACTAACAGAAATCATGGTTATGGGGGAAATTCATCCCCGATTCCGACCCCATATTCGTGGCTGATGCCCTCAGGGTCCACGGTGCTACAAGTTCACCCGTGGCTGCAGAGTCGTGGGCTGGGCGTCCTTCTACATCGGTACCTGAACGTCACTTCTGTGCCGCAATTGCTGCACTGCTAGGAACCAAGCAGTCAAGTGCAACTACTTTCTTACAATTCGGCTGCATGTGTCGCTGCGACGTGATACGCAGAGACTCCCCCTCTCGTATGTAGACATGTGTGAACCTGGGCAAAACCATGCGTCATGTTACTCTATTTCGCTACATCAGCGAAATGCTGGATAGTGCCACGCGATGGGACGTACTGTGCTGAGAGACACGGGCTTAGTATTGGCTTTGCCATGCAATTACTCAACTGGCTGCTACTCGTGATAAGCCATGCGAAGTTGCTGCATAGTTCAGTTCTGATTACGATTGTCTTCGCATGATGTTGTTTCACCCCTGAATGTACTCCCCAAAATACTCTCGCACGCTACTACTTTCCTATATGCCCAAATGCCTATATGCACCAGGCTCCTGTCAGTCTCTTCGTCGTGGAGGTGGAAGATGATGAGAGCACATGGGGTGCGCCGGCGGAGAATGCCTTTCGACCAGTTGTCGTGTTGCTACTATACATCATTGCAACAAATGCTGCTGCTGACACTGCTGCTGCTGGTTGCTGCTCCTGCTACGATGATCATGATGACTGCTATCCACCACCACCACCACCACGACGACTACTACTACTAATAATAATAATACTAATACTACTACTACTACTACTACTACTACTACTACTGCTACTCCTACTCCTCCTACTACTACTACTACTACTACTACTGCCACTACTACTGCTACTGCTACTGCTACTGCTACTGCTACTGCTACTGCTACTGCTACTGCTACTGCTACTGTGTGACAACTGCTACTGCTACTGCTACTGCTACTGCTACTGCTACTCCTACTACTACTACTACTACTAGTACTACTACTACTACTACTACTACTACTACTGCTACTGCTACTGCTACTGCTAAACTACTACCACTACCACCACCACTACCCCTACCACCACCACCACCACCACCACCAACCCTGACGACTGCTACTGCTACTCCTCCTCCTACTACTGGTTCTCCTCAGCCGAGTGTACCAGGCGAAGCTCTTCAGTGCCGTTTGCGAAAGCGGTGCAGAAGACCAAGGCCGCTCCTGCCTGCGTTCAGGGCACCTCTAACTGGGTTTAGTATTTAGGATGTTCAAGGCTCAGGGTCTAAACCCTAACCCTTAACCCTAAACCCCAAACCCTAAACCCTTGACCCTAAACCCCAAACCCTAAACCCTTAACCCTAAAACCCAAACCCTAAACCCTTAAACCTCAGGAGTCTAGGGGTTTTGTAAGAGATCTTTCTCATGGCCAGGTTGCATGGTTTGTGGCAAACCCCTACATCTTAAACCCTCAGCACTAAATCGCAGCCCCAGGGGGTCACGATTGGGCTTTGAGGTTTAGGCATTTGGAGGCTTTGGGGGCTGAGGGTTCAGGGTTTAGGATGGCGTCACGGCTTCCCGTCAACTTAGCCTCGCCTATGTTTGTTGAGCTTTGGATTCTACTTTTTTGTTGCACTCTGTGGGTTTAGGGTTTAGGGTTCGAGCAACACGGGCTCAGGCATGAACTTTCAAAATGGACTTCTCCCTGTCGGCCTCTCCTGCAACACGCCTGAAATAAGTTCCGTGGACCCCAGCTCCTACATGTCCCAACGGATTTTGGGCTTGAGGGGCCACACGCAGAGAACAAATTCAAGACCGCAAATACCCTGAGCCCTAGACCCGCCTAATGTAGGTGCCTTAATAATTAGAATAGGGTTTTGGGGGTTCCTTATTATAAGTATAGTATAATATACCCCCAAACCCTAGTCTAATTGTTAAGGCTCCTTTACTAAACCCCACACCTACAGCCTACAGCTGGAAATACGGGATCTGCCTCCGGCTGTACCCGGAGGTTCTCGAGTTCCTCGGCTCTTCCGATTTCTGCCGTCTAATCTAGGAGCCTTAATCAGAATAGTGGCGTAGTTTCGGGAACGGGGAAAAATTCGTGTCATAATTATAAGTGGGCTACAATGATACACGGTCTATAGTTACTTTTCCTGATTGTTCAACACCCAAACCCCCGAAACTCGATGGGCCTTAGCTTGTCGGCTTCTGTAGGGTTTCGGGTCTCGCGTTGGGAGGGGGGCCCAACTGAGTTTCCAACTGGGGCTTGGGCCTTATGGCGTGTTAGGGTGATGGGTGGTAGGGCTTAGAAGGGTTTTAGGGCCATTTTCGGGCATGTTAGGGTGATCGGGTTTAGGGCTTTGGGGTTCAAAGGTTTTGGAGAGTTAGGCTACGGCTTTAAAGTCTTGTTTTAGGATCTGGGATTTACGGCTCAGGGTACGTGTAGGGCTGTCTTCACAGGGTTTTCAGATTTGGCCGAACCTACATGTCCAATGTTTGATTGCGCACGGCGCGGAGACGCTTGACAGCGGCAAGGAAAGCCCAACGGTCGGGGGTTTAGGGTTTACTTATAGGGCTTCACGGTTTGGGGGTTTATAAGCTTTAGGGGACAGGTAGCTCCTGCTTCATCACGACAGAGACACTACGATTCTGCAAAGAAGCGAGACCCTGTGCGCTCAGCGTTCGGGGCATCGGAGAGGCAAGGAACGTCATGCACCAGCCCAGCGACACCCCAAACCCGAAATCGTCACCGGTGTCATATTCGGTTTCCGCTTCAGGGTTTATGCGTCCGAAACCTAGCACCGTAAACCCTAAACCCTAGACCTAAAAACCCTAAACCCTAAACCCAATAACCCTAAACCCTAAACTCTAAACCTCGTAACCCGACAGCTCATTGCATTCCTGCCCCGCAGGCTTTGCAGAGGCACCTGGTGGTGGAACACCGTGGCACCTCCGTGCTCAGGCTCCACGTCGTTCAGGTAGCAAAGGCACCTACACAAAATAAGCGCTTTATACACCGTAGCAATAGTAATAGTAGTAACAAGAACCATACAATAACAATAATGAAGAAATTAAATCAAGAATTGTTTTTGAGCGCAATGGGCCCTTGGTCCTAAAGAAGGGGTTTAGCTTTCAGGGCAAATACCGCCCACTACTGCGGATTCGAAGTACTCTGGCTTCATTTCGCAGTTGATTCTTGGGGCGGGTGGGACTGGTGCTGGGCTATCTGCTGTTGAAAACACTGCAGTTTCCCAGAGATCCCAAAAACCCGTCAATTAAGGAATATAGCTTAAATCATAATATGAAGCCCCTTATGATTTAAGGTATATTCCTGAATTAAGGGGTATTGGGCTCTCTGGGTTCCTTGAGTCAATCGAGTCTATGAGCCCAGAAAACAGGCCCATGGCCCTCCAGCAGCCCTCTGGGTGCTGCGAGAGGCAATGGATGCAACAAAATGTAACTTCAAGAGAGCGGAACCTTGGAACACCTACTATACACGGCACTACACCACAAAATAGGGTTTAGGGTTTAGGGTTTAGGATTATTGCACAAGCTACAATACTGCTGTGCTACAATACGATTGCAAATTGCAGAGATAACTTGCAGCGTGCTCCTGAGATTTGTATGTCATCAGTCCGAGGCACTGTACCATCCGTTGCCCTCCATTGGCAGCGAACGTCTGCCGGTCTTCCTAGAAAGTGGCTAAAGTCTCTCAGAAAAGAGGCTTCCAGAGAGCCCAAATACCCCTTACTTGTGGAAACAGTACAAGTTGCAATACTAAGCCCCTTATACTCTAACCACATTCTTTAATGAACAGGTGTTGGCCTCTTTGGGTCCTTGGCGCACAAACGTATGAGATGCAGCAAGTAATGGAAGCAGCCACGTGGCCTGCTGAGATTTCGTCTGATGCCTGCCAAAAGTTTAGGGGCTTAGGCTTAGGCGTGAGCACGCACCGAGGCCTATGTAAAGGACCCCCCTAAACCCTAAACCCCAAACCCTAAACCCAACGGACAGTCTAGAGCCTAGAGCCGTAATCACCCAAACCGGAGAACCTAAAGTCTCACCCCAGAAGCCCTACGGCTGATGATATAAATCCTGCACTACCCATCATAAGCAATATACCATAATTCCCATAGTTTAGGGTCCTTAAGGTAGTGCACGGTTCATATCATCAACAGTACGGATGTGAGAAATCCTCCTAAACCCGAACACCCGAAACCGACACCACCCTCCTAGAGTTGGAGGCCTCCAAAGAGTTTGAAGGTATGCATGTAGGGATATGACCAAGCCTTTATATAAGGGATCCTTTTGGGCTTCAGGGTTTAGGGTTATAATATAATATAACCCTACACAACCCTAAACCCCTAAAAGGATCCCTTAGATAAAGACTTGGGGGATTGTGCCAGCTACCTCCACCTTCCGAGAGAGCCATCCCCGGAGGTTCAGTCCTCCGACCATCCTTCGCTCGGGAGCTCCTTCGGGGCTTCGAAGTTCTATGCTCTAGCGCGCTTTAGGGTTTAGGGTTTAAGGTTTAGGGCTAGCTTCGAAATTTTCGTAGAATTTACTGGAGAGTTTTATGAAGGTGTTGTACAAAGTTCAATTCAGATTCCCCCTTAAACCCTAAACAGCCGATCCGTACAAGGCCTGTAGGTAGGTCCACCTAACACCGATACAATCGACACCATATCCCGAAAGGAAGGAGGAGCATTTTTCATGAGCGCGGATGTCTACCCGGCATGATGGCGCGTATGTGCATGTATAGATACTTGCTTACATACACACATGGAGGCACGGTTGCCTGCCTGCCTGCCTGCCTGTCTTACCTCTCTCTTCCTCTCTGTCTCTCTGCCCGTCTGTCACTTCTGTCTGTGTGTCGGTATGTCTGTCTGTCAGTCAGCCTGTGTCTGCCTCTCTGTGCCCAAAAAAACCCCGCCAAACTCAAAGACGCTCAAGCCTAAAGCCCCAAACCTCGAATCCTAAACCCTTCCTAGACCCCAACGAACCCACCTTTCGAAGGACTTATTAGATAGAGATCTCATAGAAACAGAAACCTAAATAACCTACCTCTTCAAAGACTTCGCAAAAAAATCAGAGTAAGGAACACCCCCTCAAAAAAAAAAGAGGGAGGGCTTAGGGTTTAGGATTTAGGGTTTAG